ACTGTATGGTGCAGGCATCGCAGAATAAGGTAAAGTCAGACTTTTTAAAAATTTGTTAAAAGAAACTTTAAACGCGTTTTTCTCGAAACAACGTTTTTTCGGTTGGCGGGCATGATATCTCCGAAACTACTCAACCGATCCTTCTGAAATTTAAACCACATACTCTACACATGAATGGCTATCTCGCATACTACAACCAAGTCAAAATATTAATTTTTACTATTTTTTTTCTACAAATAACTGCGAAAAAAATCAATGATTTTTTTCTTTTTCGAAAAATGGCCGTCATTTTGTTCTGTTTTCATAAAAATTGATAGTTTTAGCATACCCGATAGCCATTGTCATACTGAATTTAAAACCGTTTAATTTTTTTGTTTTAGATCACCCGTTCTTAAATTTCGATGCCCGCCAACAGCATACCTACTTTTGACGGGTTCACGTTTGTCAACCATTTTGAATGTCAAAAAACGTTAAAAACAATAAAAAAAAATTTTTTTCTTGTACTTCTAGAGTGTATTTATCATACCCAACAACTTTCATATGTATATGTATCCTACAAAGCCTAAAAAAAATCGTGAAAATAGCCTTTTTTTTCGGCGTATAAACCAAAATGAACCCTTAAGCAAACAGATTTTAGTTTGAGTAAAACTATGGCCATGTACCACATTGAGAAATGAAATATGTTAACATAAATCTATTTTTTAATTTGTTTATATATTTGTCTTATTATTATTATTATTATTATTATTATTATTATTATTATTATTATTATTATTATTATTATTATTATTATTATTATTATTATATGGCACTTAGAACTCGAGAGTTCATAGCCTCATCAACAGTCTTAATCATACTGATTATTACAAAATTATATTGAATTAGTAAAATATTTTAAAACTAGAAAATTGGGAATTGATGTTGATGCCATTTTATAAAGATATAATACCCAGGAATCCTAGCTGATTTATTAATATTGGAAATTAAAAACAAATTGTACGAATGATTAAAATAATTGTAAATATAATATATATAGTAGATAATTGTATTTATCAAAATTGTATAAATTCCTACAAGTTGTTTTGTAATTTCAAAATACTGTAATGCCTTTTATCAAATCAAATTTAATTGAATCTTTCTTTTTGAATTTATAATAATTTCTTTGTGTAACCCATTCTATTTTAATATAAATTTTTTAATTATCATTAAATATGGTTCATTTTTTTCTGTATTTCATTATTTCATAATTTTTTCAAACCAATTCACCACTCTACCTCCTACACTATTCACTATTACTATATACAACTTTTATACTATTTAAAATGTTTGATTCATTCGCGCGCAATCATGTGACTATATAAGTTCTTGTCCCCCAAAATTCTTTGGCGTGTCCCTCCTACAGGGTCCCTATACAGAATAATATCACTAATGCGGGTAATAATGCGTCTACTGTTAGAAATAGTGAAAACGATCATCGTAAGTCATTAAATAGCTTTCAATCAATATATTTCTTTCTTAATCTTTTCTGCTTATACTAGACAAGTATAATCTCAATAGATCACTTTTGCAACAATATTTTTTATTTTCTATTTAGATAATTCGCAATTGTAAATTGTAAATTGTGATTCAAGTGTTTCTCTTCCGAAAACTAATGCCGGAAAGTGTCGTGAGAATCAGCAGAAAAACATTATAAGGAAGATTCCAAAGAGTTCAAAGGAACGCGTTCGTGCATTTCGTGCACGCAGAGAGGTGTTATTGAATGTGCGGAATATTATTTATAATTCATGCAATAATTCATCCACTGTTCAATACAGTGAAAACGATCATCGTCAGTATTTAAATATCTTCTAATCAATATATTTCTTCATTATTTTTCATTGCTCATATATCTCATACCTAATCGACATACGTCATGTTTAAAAAGCATTAATTTTTATTATTCTCTAGTTAGGCGATTCTTTAGTTAATATTATTATTAATTTTTAATTTTTTTTTAGATGTTTCTCAAGTTAATACAAATCCTGACATTCCGTATTCACAATTTCTAAGAAATAAATTTGCCCATGATATTTTTTGCGACAAATTTTTGAATAATATGTTCGGTTATGCATGCTCCGTTTGCGATCGTTTATGGTTCCACAATGATTTAAAATCATCACGAGCAGAACATGAAGAACTCTTACGTATAATAAATAAAAATTTTAATGCAATCAATGACATTTTACTGTGCACCACGTGTTACCAATCAATAGAGAAGAAAGTTATTCCAACATTATCCACTTACAACGGTTTTAAATATCAAAACATACCTGCGTCTTTACCACCACTTGATTTAATTTCTGAAAGACTTGTCTCTCCGCGAATTCCATTTATGCAAATTAGACGGTTGAGACACATCCATGGCCAATACGGAATTTATGGCCAAATTATTAACGTACCAGTCGAAGTGGACAATATGGTAAAAAATTTACCTCGTAATATTGATGATGACCATTGTATTAACGTTCATATCAAGAAACAAAAACAACATGTGTGCAGATCACACGTGTTAGAAGTGAAAACCTTCAAAAAACTAAGATTCGAGAGAATGAGACACCTCCGCTACCACCCCCGTCACCCCCGCCTCCGTCACTCCCGGAGGTGGCGGATGGGTGACGGTTTCCTTTTTAGGATCGTCGATGAATATTATACCACGCACATTCAAAAATACTGAGGCCATAATCTTTCCAGCTGATTGTTGTGCTTTAGGGCGCTTTGGACGAGGTTCACCAGTTGCTGTCCACTCAGATGACGATCGTTTTGATTCTGAAATAAAGTGATAGATCCATGATTCATCTATTGTCACATATCGACGCAAAAATTCTGGTTTATTACGTTTATACATGGCAAAAAACTGCTCAGAATCATCAACACGTTGCTGTTTGTGGTCAACAGTGAGCAAACGCGGCACTCACTTTGAAGAGATCTTTCTCATGGATAAATGCTGATGCAATATGAAGCCAACACGTTCTTTTGATATCTTTACGATGTCAGCTAACTCACACAACTTCACTTTTCAATCATTCAAAATGATTTTGTGGATTTTTTTGATGTTTTCTGGTGTTACCACCTTATTTGGACGTCCACTGCGTTCTGTATCATCGGTGTCTCTACGACCACGCTTGAAGTCAGCAAACCAACGTTTTATTGTTGTTTCTGATGGAGCGGAGTCCTTATAACATTTTTCAAGCCATTGCTTCACTTGAACGGTATTTTTTCCCATTTACACTGACAGCAGTGTAAAATTAAAACACGAAATTGTTTTTGATCCATTGTTTTGAAAATAACAAAAGTAGCATCATTCTTAGCACAATAACTCACAAACTAATTAATAGAAAGTCATCAAATTTTAACAACTGTCTTTTGAAGGTTAGTACTAACTGAAAATGAGGTGAATGCAATAAAAATAGCGGCATCTATGTGTGAGGCCCGGGACTTTTCAGCCCACTGGGTTATATAAATATATCCTAAAACAAGTACGGTGAAATACTAACCATAATATATTTAAATAGAAGCAATACAAACATGGAACAAACGTAAGAGCTAAAATAGAACAAATCTGTATAGAGAAATGGAACATGTACTATTATACGAGTAAAAATTCGAAACTAAACATTAGAAAGAATGTATTATTACATAAGGCAATAATTAAACCGATTTAGACCTACAAAATCGTAAAATGGGAAACAGTAGCAAAAAGTCGCATAAACTAAAATGAAGTAATATAATCCATTATCTTGCTTTTTCTTTTTCATAATCGTGAATCTAATTTAAAAACAAAGAACCATAATACCTACCAATTTTCTTCGTAAAGTATCTGCCGATGGTGCGACTTTAACAATGAAAGATGCTTTGCTCATAACTTCTCGGTCATCTTGTTTGTAAGCAAATTCAACCAATACTCTGAACATATCGCTACTATAGTTATCCCCCTTGGCCGTCGCCAGTTTTGAAAATATATCGATTACACGGATTGAATTGTTGTTTTTCGCCTTTCGCAAGATATTTTCCCAAAACTTGGGTCTCAGCCATAACGGTGTTTCTTCGGCCATTTCTGAAATAAAAATTGAAATCGGACAATTTTGTAAATAAATCATTGTTTTTTTCGTTGATTTAAAAAATATTTGAACGATTCTTTACAATAACTTATTTTCAGCAGCTAAAATATATAATTTTCTTTCTACGTTTTTTCCCCCTAATCGAAGTATGCGAACAAATCAATTTCTTAAATTTCATTTTCTGTATATGTTATGTTCGTTGCATATATTCCAGTCAATCTGTCGAATGTGCAGAAGGTTTCATATTAATTTATAAAACGTGTTTCAGTTGACTATTTTTAGAGCTAACGAAGGATTAAAATAGGAAGAAATGAAACAAATCGAAACAGGTGTATGTTCGTACGGTCATAAAATTATCTTCACTTTTCTTACTGTGCACATGCTTTCTCAATTATCTGACTATGAGAATTTAATCTTCCAAACTTTTACGATATACAGGTGGATGGAACTAATATAGAAAAAGATATGAATTCAATTATTTATTATTAGGTTGATGTGTATGTAATGTAGGATTTTAAAGCGAATATGAGACATTCAACGTTAAATCGACCACCTTTGACCCGACCCCTATCCATTTGGCTGAAATTTTTGAAGTGAAAACTTCTTTAGAATAGGGGTGATTTGAAAAAAAAACATGTGTGCAGATCACACGTGTTAGAAGTGAAACTTTCAATAAACTAAATTTCGAGAGAATCAGACAAATGCACAGTTTCAAGAGTAAGTTTATTGTAGGATTTATTAAATATAATATTATTACCATATATAATAAAGATCACCGGTATGGTCTCTTGGTGGAATAGCTGATAAAAAGTACACTTTTCCCAATTCAAGCAATAAAAATGGAATGCTAAATGCGATAGTAGTAGATAAACACCAAAATCGTAGAGTGTTTATCGAGGAAAATATATTGCATCGTAAACTAAGTAAATATAGAATATTCTTTTTTTGAAACTCAGGTAGATAAATTTTTTTTCTTTTACACTTTTCACACTTTCTGTGAATGTGAGATATCTTTATTATGGGTTAATATACACAAGTATTTCTTTTTGTGTTGCAACTAATAACTGTAGATACTGTTAAAGAAGGAAACAATTGTGGTAGTATCTTTTTCGTTTCATCGGGTTTTGAATTACAACGATTTTAAAATCTATTTCTATTTTCGTTGGTTTATATTATAATATTAAAAAATTTTTTTCAAAACATTTTTTCTATATTTTTTTTTCTATATTTGTAAAATAAGTTATATTATTTTATTCTTATTAGAAATATAAAGTAAATAAGGTTTATTTGTTTTTGTAACGTGTCTAGTTTCTTCTATTTAAACACTTTTTTATTTTATTGAAAAATTAGTATAAATTTCCTAAATACGCAAACACTATAATTAAAAAACATGTCTTTAGATATTTATAAGAAAAATATTCTACAGTGTTGTCTAATTTTTTTTCTCTGATGTATCTGATAATCATTTTTTTTTTTTTTTGTAAAATATTGTAGACAATACAACTATTATATTCTATATATTTCATAATTGTTAATTATAATATTTGCGAAATAAATAATTTAATATAAATTTTTCAATATAATAGAAACATTTTTAAATAGAAAAGAAATGACACGTTTTTGGTAAAAAAAAACAGACCACGCACCTTCTTTCTTTATTTCGACCGTCGGTTCGTTTGGACCTTATACTTTTGTCGCATACCTACGTGTTTATCTCTGTTTATTCTTTTACCTTTCTATCGCTCGTACCTACAAACATTTCGAGTATCGAAAGAATACGTGTCCATGCTTTGTAGTATGCAGTCGTACACGAACACACACATGTACAACCAGGAGCGATATAGTCCATTCAAAATAGCCCTGAAATCGGGTTTTTGGCCTATACAGCTGAAAAAATATGGAAATAATCAAAAAAATGCGTACAAAACTGTGGGCAAAGTAAAAAAGTTTTCAACTACCGGGAAAGGGGTGAAAAAAATTAAAAACTACCCCAAAATACGATAATCATTGATATTTATTTTGAAAATAGTGAGAATTGAGAACATATACAAATGCCAATGAAAAATAAAACTCTTATAAGGTTTCTAGTCATTCAAGACATTTCATTTTCAACTTATTTAAACTCTATTATATATCTTTAGATATAAAAATAGAAAAAAAAGATTTACCTCCCAAGATTCAAACCCTAAAAGACTCGGCCATTATTGGAACGAATCGCCGAATCGTTGTCATTATACAAAACCTATTACATACCATTGCTTACTTCAGAATTAAATTTAAACACTGGATAGCATCATAAGCATTTTTAATTGTAAATATCTCAAAAATTACTGAGTAGTGGCCCCTATAACCATATATATTCGTAAAAAGGGAAGCAGAATCTATCATCCTGCAAAATTTGAACAAAATCCGAGAGAGTAAGATCTTGCGCTGTCCTTGTCTGTGGTGAAACTTAATAAAAAGTATCAAGTAAGAAAGTAATCATATTTTTTTAATATATCTCGAAAAGTAAGGAAAATACAATATCCTTGTACCAAACCTTTTTTGTAGTAAATAAAATTGTCTACAAAACATAATTAATAAAAAATCACTTTATTTCGCTTACTTTTTGAGATATTTTCAAAAATCTATCATGCTGTCACAGATGCGCGCGAGACTCTTGAGCTTTTCACCCCTTTCCCGGTGGTTGAAAACTTTTTTACTTTGCCCACAGTTTTATATGCATTTTTTGGATAATTTCCATATTTTTTCAGCTGTATAGGCCAAAAACCCGATTTCACGGCTATTTTAACAGGACTAATAGGAAAAACTGTATAGCTATATTCCGTCTCATTCTCTCGTAGGCTAAATCCTATAGGTTTGTCTCTTTTTCTGTCATTATTTAGTATAGCAGCAGTTTCATAGCTTCGTTACATAGCTCCGTTTCCTTACTTTTCAGATCACTCCCATTCTAAAGAAGTTTTCACTTCAATAAAAAGTTCAGAGAAAAAATAAAATAAAATTTTAATATATATATATATATATATATATATACACAGATACATAGATTATTGAGTTTTCTCCAGTTTGTGTATGTGGGTGGAATTTAAAATACCTATGGTGTGCAGGTTGGGTATATGATATAATAAATCCATTAAATTCTTTTATTTGCTTTGTAAATAGTCTCGTTTTTGTGTAGTAATGCAAACTTTATATTAATAAAATTGTTTAGAAAATAATATTTTTTTAATAGCTATGATTGGACTTACTCTACTTTCAAAATAAACATTTTCGTCACTTTCCTAATTACCAGCAAATTTTCGCGTTACCAAATCTCAAGGAATTTAAATATATTAGTAACAATTATCTTCTTAGAATGAAAAGATCATGTAAAAATGTAACTATTATAGTAGTTAAATCGATTTTTTGGTAATTGACTTAGACTACTTTTAAAATAAACGGCTCAAATAGGTCAACGAAAAGATATGTGTGAATGAACCAAAGAGTTATTGTTAATGAGCCAGGAGCAAATGACTTAAGGAAGCAATAGATTAACCAGTTGACAATGTTTCACTAGTAACGTGATAGCAAATTATTAATTACTTCTGTGACTGTAGCTAGATGGTACTTGATATCGTACGGAATACGTCATAAACTATCCTAAGATATACTGTTAAATGCTGTTTCAAAAATTAAAAGTAAAATGTGTTGTAACAGAATAGATTCAGATCTATAACACCTTATAATTTGAAATGGTTTGAACATTTAACGTGAATATCAAAAAGATAAATATAGTGCTATTATAATAATGTCAGTAACATAAAATCATATTCTGTTAAATTCGTCTATTCTTTAGCCTTTAGGTATTATAATTTCGAGGATATTTTCTTTTGTTTTACATAAATAAAAAATTGCAAATTATCAGATTACTCTTTGTAAATAATTTAAAAAAAAAACATAATACTTTGATATATAACGTTCAATACATCATTTAACATTGATGACGATTTCTGATCTAATTTAATTGATACTAACGGAAATGTGTAAATGTATGCATTTACAAAATAGACCATTAAACTAAAAAATCTAACCGACTTAAGTTGGCACTTAACCAAGCAATAGTCGCATCACTGTTTGAACATTTTGGTTCAAAAATTTTGATTGTTTATTTAACGAAACGAATTAAATATGATCAGCAATTAAGAAAAGAGGTTCAAGTTTTGCTAAATACCAAATTTCGAAGCAACCCTAATGCGCTAAAATGATTAATAGATAAGAAAATCTTTGAAATGTTACTTTACGAGTTACTGTAAATTACATTTATATCCACCTTAACAAATATGAGCTAACGCATGATCAGATTTAAAATTAGTAGCTCTTAAAAATTTATGGGAACTTAAACACTTTTGTTAAATGAGCAACTGATGAATGAGAGCCATTGAAAAACGGTGTACTCAATCAAACTACTTGAAGCAATTTATTATCGAGGAATATCGATTACCTTGAGATCTGGAATCGTTCATCACAAAGATTCGTTATAATATGATTACCTTTGAATGAATAATTATTGTTATAAAAAAAATGCCCAGACAAATTTTCAAGTTTCTTTTTTATTAACATCTATTTCATATTAGTATCGTGATTTAGAATAAATTATTAATAATAATATCGTATTATTTCACCAACTAACCTTATAGATTGTATTCTATAAAAGTAACACTTTCTCTTCGTTTCTCTTCACTACACTATCTCTTTATTAGAGTATCTTATCTATAGAAAATATAATAGTAAGCTCTTTTCTCTCGCTCGTCATTTATACTCTCGTGAGAATTCCATCAAATTGTAATAAAACAGGCAGCGCTGTTAGCAACTTTTTAAAGAACTAGCGATTAGAATGTTTGATATTTAATAAAATTTGCTTATTCATTTGATAAAGGTTTATTTTTAAATTATCTCCTATTTGTACTTTTCCTTTTTCTGTTGTTCTTGCATATGATTTGTTTTAAGGGGTTATATACAGTTAGAATTTTCAAAAAATCGATTTTTTTTTAAATTTTATTTTCTTAATGTACATATATTTAAGAATACACACAGAAAATTTCATATCGTTCCGGTGAATATTTTCAAAGTTACAAGCTAATTTGAAAAGGCGTTTCAGAGTGCTTGAAGTACAAGGTACAAACTTTAAACGCGTTTTTCTCAAAATGGTGTTATCAAAGTCGGTGACCAACATTACTC